GGGATTCCTCCACCTGCATCTATAAATACGCAACCCAACTTCGCCATTGAGGTACGGTTTGATTGCAGTCATCCAGCATAAATTTCTCTCTAGAAGTTTAACTGACTTAAGCATCGGAGGGACAACGAGGACGCACCTCGCTGCCTTCGTTTCAGGTATTGAAGAAGATCAGATCGCTTGGAGTTCTCTCGTGCAGCTTGAATTCATCCAGGTACGAATTTTGGTAGCATCAACCAGCAACACAGGTAACATCAGTGTTCCACTTGTCTGAGTTGCTGCAGCTCCCATTCTCTCCTTTTGCCCTTTGTCTATTCTCCTTCCCACCCCAATAACTGGCCAACCCCAAAACACTCCCCCAGTGACAACTTCATTCGGGTAATTTTTCTTGTCAAATGCTGAATCATCCGACAGTTTCAGGAGCAAAGATGGCCATTCATTTGAGGTTGGAATTATGGTATGACTCGCGGTTTTCGAGCTGCTGGCTAAGTAATGGATATTTGGTGGGGATTGAGAGGAGAATGGGGGGAAGAAGAGAGAAAATCTGGATTTACGAGGAAAGAGCAGACCGGTGCTTTTCCGTCAGCAATTCAGAGAGAAAAAGTTGGGCAAGGGATCATGTGATTTATTTCACGCTTTCTATACAAGAGCAAAGGTGCAACTTCCATATATTTAACAATTCTTGTTGAGTCAACTAACACTAGATAAATTTTTTTAGGATTATAAACATTATCCAAATCTTTATCCAGTGCAAACCAAACACAAAAAAATGTGATATCTAATAATAGAATAGTTATTCATGCTGTACTAATTGGTAGATAGCTCGGCTGGGCTAATCTAGTCAGCAAACCAAGTGTGGACAGTGGACTTAATTAGTACAAACTTAATTTGAATCTTTTGTGAAAAAAGATGAAAAGGTTCCAACTATACATTTCTATTTCAACTTAATTTGAATCTTTTGTGACTCGGATATGTTTAGTATAATTGTATGTGTCATTTGATTTTGTTTTGATCAGTATGCTCAGTATACTTGTTCATGATTTTTTACCAATAAATATAATTTACTTTTATTGATAAAAAAACCAAATTGTTTTGCGTGCCACATCCCTGCGTCACTACTCTCTCACACACAGTTCGCATTAGTTTCTTATGGGACATGGAAATGGACGAAATAAGAATTTTATTCCCTTGCACATTTGGCTACTCTTTAAACGAAAAACAGGTAAAGATAATAACAGAGATTTTGAATCCAGACATTTAAAGATTACCATGTAAATTATACCAAGTTGGTTTTTTTATCGAAAAATATAAATTATATTGATAAAAAATCATGTACAAGTATACCGAACATACTGATCAAAACAATCAAATGACTCGTACAATTATTCCAAACATATCCGAGTCACAAAAGATTCCAAAATGTATAGTTGTAATCAAACAAAAGATGAAAAAGAAATATCCACAAGAGTGAGCCCTTAATCATGTTTTGAGGGCTGTCCATTCGTGCATATCAACAAAGCAGAAAAAATTGTAAACTTTTCCTTCCCGGATGCCTTTTCGAATGCTGCAACCATTTCCAAGACAGACATACCCTTCCCAGTTCCCAGGTTGTATACCTCACAGCCTGCAGTTTACATTCTTCAAAACTAAGTCAAAGGACAACAACCATTTGCAGTTGCACAAAACAAGCAAATCAGATAAGCTAATCCACAATAAAATTATGGCTATAAACCTTAAATAGCAAATGAAAAGGTAAGAAGCAAAATGGATCCCAAATATTGTCCATTTTAAACAATAGGACACTGATGTAGGACAATCCTTAAATAGCAATAGAGTCAATTAAAAACAAACTGAAGTCTGAGTTTGAAATGAAGGATGTAGGTCCTGTTAGAAAGATTTTGGGTATTGAAATTAAAAGGGATAGGAGGGAAGACATACTTAGTCTAAGTAAAAAAATCTTATGTTTTGAAATTGTTGGAAAAGTTTTCAATGAATGATGCTAAAAGTGTAAGTGTACCTTTAGCAAATCATTTTAAACTTTCAAGTGATCAATCTTCCAAATCTGAAATTGAGTTCAAAAGAATGGCAAAAGTGCCTTATTCTAATGCAGTTAAGTCTGTTATGTATCTAATGGTCTGTTCCAGACCTGATTTGGCTTTCTCTATAAGAGTGTTGAGTAGATTTATGTCAAATCCTGGT